GACAGGGGAGGGGACAGGGGAGGGGACCCGCAGGAAGTCCCTTATGTGGCATTTGTCACCAGCCACCAGCCCTGAAAACGGCGTCACTGGAGAGAGGACGTGAGTGTGGGGTGTCCCTGTCCCTTGTCACCCCCTGCCACCCCTGGGACTCCCTGTCCTTTGTCACCCCCACCGTGGTTGCTCCTGTCCCTTGTCACCCCCTCTGCTTCCCGCTGTCCCTTGTCACCCTCATGCTGTCCCTTGTCCCAGGGGTGACATGTGTCCCCTGTCCCCTGGCCCTTGTCCCAGGGGTGACATGTGTCCCCTGGACCTTGTCCCAGGGGTGACATGTGTCCCCTGTCCCCTGGCCCTTGTCCCAGGGGTGACATGTGTCCCTTGTCCCAGGGGTGACATGTGTCCCCTGGCCCTTGTCCCAGGGGTGACATGTGTCCCCTGGCCCCTGCCCCTTGTCCCAGGGGTGACATGTCTCCCCTGTCCCTTGTCCCTTGTCCCAGGGGTGACATGTGTCCCCTGTCCCCTGTCCCTTGTCCCAGGGGTGACATGTGTCCCTTGTCCCAGGGGTGACATGTGTCCCCTGTCCCTTGTCCCAGGGGTGACATGTGTCCCTTGTCCCAGGGGTGACATGTGTCCCCTGTCCCGTTGTGCAGGAGGAACCCCAGCAGTTCCCCCCAGGAGGAGAAGCTCGTTAAGAAGCTGCTCATTAAGCGGTAATTAGAGCGTGGGGGAGGGGAGGAGCGACCTGTCACCTGCAGCCCCTCCCATCCTGTCCCTTGGCCAGGACGTCCCTGTCCCCTGTCCTGGGGTCCCCCCGTGCCAGGACCCCCGTCCCTGTCCCCAACACCCCCGCTGTCCCCCAGGAGGGTCCCCTCAGAGGTTTGGGGTCCCTGGGTGACCCCGCTGTCCCCCAGGAGGGTCCCCTCAGAGGTTTGGGGTCCCCGGGTGACCCCGCTGTCCCCCAGGAGGGGCCCCCCCGAGGCCCAGGACAGCCCCCGGCTCCCCAAGCAGCCGCGGGTGAGCCTGGAGCGCCTGGAGCTGGACCTGGAGCTGGACCCGGCGCAGCCGCCCGTGTTCCGCATCTTCCCGGGACCCTCGGCCCAGGAGTTCAGCCTCATCGTCATCGAGCAGGGCTCAGCGGGGACAGAGGGGACACCGGGGACAGAGGGGACACCGGGGACAGAAGTTGGGGTCCCCGGGTGACCCCGCTGTCCCCCAGGATCCCCCCTCAGATGTTTGGGGTCCCCGTGTGACCCCGCTGTCCCCCTGAGGTTTGGGGTCCCCGTGTGACCCCGCTGTCCCCCAGGAGGGTCCCCTCAGAGGTTTGGGGTCCCTGTGTGACCCCGCTGTCCCCCAGGAGGGTCTCCTGGGGTTTGGGGTCCCTGGGTGACCCCGCTGTCCCCCAGGAGGGGCCCCAGAGGTTTGGGGTCCCCGTGTGACCCCGCTGTCCCCCAGGAGGGTCCCCTCAGAGGTTTGGGGTCCCCGGGTGACCGGTTTGGGGTCCCTGGGTGACCCCGCTGTCCCCCAGGAGGGTCCCCTCAGAGGTTTGGGGTCCCCGGGTGACCCCGCTGTCCCCCAGGAGGGTCCCCTCAGAGGTTTGGGGTCCCCGGGTGACCCCGCTGTCCCCCAGGAGGGTCCCCTCAGAGGTTTGGGGTCCCCGGGTGACCCCGCTGTCCCCCAGGAGGGGCCCCCCCGAGGCCCAGGACAGCCCCCGGCTCCCCAAGCAGCCGCGGGTGAGCCTGGAGCGCCTGGAGCTGGACCTGGAGCTGGACCCGGCGCAGCCGCCCGTGTTCCGCATCTTCCCGGGACCCTCGGCCCAGGAGTTCAGCCTCATCGTCATCGAGCAGGGCTCAGCGGGGACAGAGGGGACACCGGGGACAGAGGGGACACCGGGGACAGAAGGGACACCGGGGACAGCAGGGACAGCGGGGACACCAGGGACGGAAGGGACAGCGGGGACAGCGCAGCCACACGGAGCCCTCCTTGTCAAGGTGAGTCACCCCCGTGTCCCCTCCATTGTCCCCAGTCTCTGTCCCCATCCAGGTGAGTGTCCCCAGTGTCCCTCCCCACCCTGTGTGTCCCCTTCCCCATGCAGGTGAGTCCCCCATGTTCTCCCTTGTCAAGGTGTCCCCTTTCCCCCTACAGTGTTCCCTGTCCCACTCCCCACCCTGTGTGTCCCCTCCCCACCCTCTCCCAGTGTCCCCTGTCCCTGTATCCCCTGTCCCTGTCCCTGACTGTGTCCCCATCCCTGTCCCCTGTCCCTGACCGTGTCCCCTGTCCCTGTGTCCCCTGTCCCTGTCCCCTGTCCCTGTGTCCCCTGTCCCTGTCACCCCTGTCCGTCTCCGTCACCTTGTCCCGGTCCCGCTTCCCCCTCCCCCCCCCTGGTGAGTCCCCCATGTTCTCCCTTGTCAAGGTGTCCCCTTTCTCCCTACAGTGTTCCCTGTCCCCCTCCCCACCCTGTATGTCTCCTCCCCACCCTCTCCCAGTGTCCCCTGTCCCTGTGACCCCTGTCCCTGTCCCCTGTCCCTGACCATGTCCCCTGTCCCTGTGACCCCTGTCCCTGTGTCCCCTGTCCCTGTCCCCTGTCCCTGACCGTGTCCCCCTGTGCAGGAGGAGCAGCAGGAGTCGCCCATTGGGGACACCGGGGACAGCGGGGACACCAAACCCGTGGGGCTGCTGCCCCCTGCCCCGGGGGAGCTGGGCCCTGCCCCGGGCTCCTCCCCTGGCCTGGGGCTCCCGGTGGTCCCGGTGGTCCTGGGGGCGCTCCCGGGGGTCTCGTGCTGCCGCGTGTGCGGCCAGGCCGGGGCCGTGGTGATGTGTGACCGCTGCCAGCGCTGCTTCCACCTGCACTGCCACCTGCCCGCGCTGCAGGACGTGCCCAGGTACGGGATCCGCTGCTGGGATCCGCTGCTGGGATCCACCGCAGGGATCTGCTGCCCCTCAGCGCCTGGGCCTGGGATGTGCCTGGATCCCCTGCTCCAATGTCAGCCCCCTGTGGATCAGCTGGGAGCTCTTGGATCCTGGGATTTCCTGTCCCTGATCTCTCTGGGAATCCCCTGCTGATCCCAAACCTCGTGGGGGTCCTGAGGTGCTGATCCCATGGGATCCCATTCCCAATCCCATTCCTGATCCCTCAATCCCCTGGAATCCCATTCCAAATCCCTCGATCCCAAACCCCTGGGACTCTCCAGGTGCCAATCCCATGTGATCCCCATCCCAGATCCCCAGTGGTCTCCAGGCACCAATCCCATGGGATCCCATTCCCAATCCCATTCCTGATCCCTTGATCACAGATACATGGGGATCCCCAGCTGCTGATCCCATGGGATCCCATTCCCAATTCCAGACCCCCAGTGGTCCCCAGGTGCTGATCCCATGGGATTCCAATCCCAGACCCCTGGGGGTCTCTGGGCACTGATTCCAGAATCCCAATCCCAGATCTCTGGGGGTCTCCAGGCACTGACCCCATGGGATCCTGTTCCTGATCCCTTGATCCCAGACCCTTGGGGATCCCCAGCTGCTGATCCCATGTGACCCCCTTCCCAATCCCTTGATCCCAGCCCTGTGGGGTCTCTGGGCACTGATCCCATGGGATCCCAATCCCAGCCCTGTGGGGATCCCCGTTCCTGATCCCCTGTGACCCCATTCCCAATGCCTTGATCCCAGCCCTGTGGGGATCCCTGGGCACCGATCCCACGTGACCCCGTTCCCTCAATCCCAGCCCCAAAGGGATCCCTGGGCACTGATCCTCTGTGACCCCATTCCCAATCCCAGCCCTGTGGGAATCCTCATTCCCGATCCCCCATGACCCCGTTCCTGATCCCCTGTGACCCCATTCCCAATCCCAGCCCTGTGGGGATCCTCATTCCCAGTCCCCTGTGAACCTGTTCCTGATCCCAGCCCCGTGGGGATCCCTGTTCCTGATCCCTCAGGACCCTGTTCCCAATCCCATGGGGATTCCCATTCCTGATCCCTCAATCCCAGCCCCGTGGGGATCCCTGTTCCTGATCCCTCATGATCCTGTTCCCAGCCCCATGGGGATTCCCATTCCTGGTCTCAGCCTTCCAGGGGTCTCTGTTCCCAATCCCCCTTGACCGCATTCCGCTCCCACAGTCCCGTGGGGATCCCCGTTCCCGATCCCCCGTGACCCCGTTCCCAGTCCCAGCCCCATGGGGATCCCCGTTCCTGATCCCCTTGACCCTGTTCCTGATCCCAGCCCCATGGGGATCCCCGATCCCTCAATCCCAGCCCCATGGGAATCCCCGTTCCCGATCCCCTGTGACCCTGTTCCCGATCCCAGCCCCGTGGGGATCCCCGATCCCTCAATCCCAGCCCCCCATGACCCCCTCCCGCTCCCGCAGCCCCGAGTGGACGTGTTTGCTGTGCCAGGAGCTGCCCCCGCCCCTCCCGGAGCCGGAGCAGGGCCCCTCCCTCAAGCTGAGCCCCCAGGACCAGCAGGTGAGGCTGGGCTGATCCCGATGGTCGATCCCATGGGATCTCCTCCCTCGGGATCTCAGCACCGACCCCGACCCCGCAGCGCTGCGAGTTCGTCCTGCTGGAGCTGCTGTGCCACGAGCCCTGCCGGCCCCTGCAGCGCCTCTGCAGCTCCCCGGTGAGCGGGGATCCAGCGGGGGGTCTGGGGGGATCAGTGGGGAGCTGGGATGAGTGGGGAACTGGGATCAGTGGGGAGCTGGGCTGGGATCAGTGGGGAGCTGGGATCCATCATGAGGATCTGGGCTGGGATCAATGGGGAGCTGGGATCCATCGGGGGGATCTGGGCTGGGATGAGTGGGGAGCTGGGATCCATCAGGGGATCTGGGGGGATGAGTGGGGAGCTGGGATCAGTGGGGAGCTGGGCTGGGATGAGTGGGGATCTGGGATCCATCGGGGGGATCTGGGCTGGGATCAGTGGGGAGCTGGGATCCATCAGGGGGATCTGGGCTGGGATCAGTGGGGAGCTGGGATCCAGCAGGGGGATCAGTGAATCAGGGCTGGGATCAGTGGGGAGCTGGGATCCATCGGGGGGATCTGGGCTGGGATCAGCTCCCCGGTGAGCAGTGCCAGCGGAGCAGGGAGCTGGGATCCATCGGGGGGGATCTGGGGGGGATCAGGGCTGGGATCAGCTCCCTGGTGAGCAGGAGAGCGGAGTGGGGAGCTGGGGGGGTATCGAACAGGGGGGATCTGGGGGGGGATCAGGAACAGGGTCAGCGGCGGGAGCGGAGCAGGGATCTGGGGGGATCAGCTCCCTGGTGAGCAGGTGGGATCAGGGTGGGTGATCAGCTCCCTGGTCTGCAGCAGGAGTAGATCAGGGGATCTGGGATCTGGGGGATGGGATCTGGGGGAGATCAGCTCCTGGGTGAGCGGGTGGGATCTGGGGGGGATCAGAGGTAGGATCAGCTCCACGGTGAGTGGTGACCGGGTGGGAGTGGGAGGGATCTGGGATCGGAGGTGGGATTGGGATCAGGGGGTGGGATCAGGATCAGGGATGGATCATGGGTGGGATCAGGATAAGGGGCAGGATCAGGGAATCTGGGATGGGATCTGGGGAGGGATCAGGGATGGGATTGGGTGGGGTCAGGGGGTGGGATCAGGATCAGGGGGCAGGATCAGGGGTGGAATCTGCCCTGTTTGGGATTAAGGGTGGGACCAGCGGTGGGATCTGGCCTGTTTGGATCAGGGGGTGGGATCTGCCTTGTTTGGGATCAGGGATGGTTTCAGGGGGTGGGATCTGGCCTGTTTGGGATCAGCCCCGTTTGGGATTAGGGGTGGGATCGGGGGGTGGGATCTGCCCTGTTTGGATCAGGGGGTGGGATCAGCCCCGTTTGGGATCAGCCCTCTTTGGGATCAGGGGTGGGATCAGGGCTGGGACCAGCCCCGTTTGGATCAGTCCTGTTTGGGATTGGGGATGGGATCAGGGCTGGGCTCTGCCCCGTTTGGATCAGGGCTGGGATCAGCCCCGTTTGGGATCAGCCCCGTTTGGGATTGGGGGTGGGATCAGGGCTGGGATCAGCCCCGTTTGGGATCAGCCCTGTTTGGGATCGGGGATGGGATCAGCCCCGTTTGGATCAGGGCTGGACTCCGGCCCGTTTGGATCAGGGCTGGGATCAGCCCCGTTTGGGATCAGTCCTGTTTGGGATCGGGGATGGGATCAGGGCTGGGATCAGCCCCGTTTGGGATCAGGGCTGGGATCAGGGCTGGGATCAGCCCTGTTTGGATCAGGGCTGGGCTCCGGCCGCCGGGGCCGCTGACCCCGCTGCCCGCCGCTCAGGACGGCCGCGACGCCATGGACCTGACGCTGATGCGGGCGCGGCTGCAGGAGAAGCTGAGCCCCCACTACCGCAGCCCCGAGGAGTTCGCCCGCGACGGCTGGCGCCTGCTGCGGCAGTTCCACCGCCTCACCGAGGTCTGACAGCCCCCGGGGGGCTCTTTTCGGGCTCTTTTTGGGGTTTTTGGCCGGGCCAGCCCCTCTGGAGTTGACATTTCCCCCCAGGACAAGGCGGATGTCCAGTCCATCCTGGGGCTGCAGCATTTCCTCGAGAGCCGCCTCAGCGCCGTCTTCGGCGACCAGAAGTTCTCCAGGCTCCTGCTGGATCCCGAGGAAGCCCTGGAGGTGTCTCCAGGCTCCTGACTGCCCCTCCTGGGGGCTGAAAGACCTCCCAGCACCCCGATTTCCCCTCCCAGCACCCCAATTTCCCCTCCCAGCACCCCGATTTCCCCTCCCAGCACCCCGATTTGCCCCCACCATGGGTTCTGTTTACCCCCCACCCCGAGTTGGGGTTCCTCCCAGAACCCCCCCAGGATGTGGGGGCGTCCCTGTCCCCCGTTAGCCTGGGGTCACGTGGGAAAATAAAACCCTGGCTTGGTCTGCTGGGTTCTGCCTCATTTCTGGGCTGGATCTGACCTGGATTCTGCCCCATTTGGGCTTGGATTTCTGGATTCCCCCCAGTTTCACGGCTGGATCCAGCCCCGTGCCCCCCATTTTCCCTCCTGCTGCCCCTCCACGTCCATGCCTGCCCCCCTGAGCTGAACTGGGGCTGGCAGCGCTGAGAGGGAAGGGACTGGGAGGGGAAACTGGTCCCAGTTCACCCCCTGGGCCAGTAAAGATGGCGGCGCCCATGAGTAACATGGCGGCGCCCATTGGGAGAAGGGGCCTCGAGCCCCGCCCCCGGCGCAGGATTGGCTGGTGGGAGCCGGGGAGAGCCGAAGTGCTCCGGAAAGAGCCGAGTGCGAAGCGCGGGAGAGACAAACGAAGCGGCCGCCGGAAAGAGCCGAGGGGCGGCGATCGGCGCTTTTCGGAGCGCCTCGCCCCGCCTCCTTTTCCGGAAGAACCCGAAGTGCTCCGGAAAGAGCCGAGTGTGAAGCGCGGGAGACACAAACGAAGCGGCCGCCGGAAAGAGCCGAGGGGCGGCGATCGGCGCTTTTCGGAGCGCCTCGCCCCGCCTCCTTTTCCGGAAGAACCCGAAGTGTTCCGGAAAGAGCCGAAGCGGGGTCGAAGCGCCGGAACGAGTCGATCTTCTTCCGGAAGAATCCGAAGCGCCCTCGGGCCCGCCTGAAAGTCCTGAGGGGCTCCGAACCGCCCCTTCCGGAGACCCCCCTCTCCCCTCCCCCATCTTTTCCGGAAATCCCCCGAGCCCCTCCCCCTCTCCCTTCCGGAGATCCCCGAAGCGATTCCGGAGTTTCCGGAAGCGGCTCCCGAGCGGTGCCGGCGGACCCCGAGGCCGTTCCGCCACCTCCCGGAACGGTTCCGAAGCAGGTCCGGAAGTTGCCAGGCGACTTCCGAGTTTGCCGAGAGATTCCGAAGCCCTGCGGAGGTTCTCGAAGCGATTCCAGAGACCTACGAAGCGGCCCCGGAGATTGCCCAGAGGTTCCGAAGCGGTTCCGGAGAGTCCCGAACCTCCTCCCCCTTTTCGGAGATCTCCGGAAGGTTTCGAGAGGCTCCGGACATCCCTGAGACCGTTCCGCAAAGCCCCGAAACGGTTCCGAAGCGGTTCCGGAGATCCTCGAGGCGGTTCCGGAAGTCGCCAAGCGACTCCGGAGGTTCCCGAAGCGCTTCCGGAAACTCCCGAAGTTGTACCGAAGCAATTCCGGAGCTTCACGAAGAGATCCCGGAAGTTGCCGAGCGGTCGTGAAGCGGTTCCGGAGAGTTCCGAGCGGCTCCGGAAGTTTCCGAGCGGCTCCGGAAGTTGCCGAGCCGGCCGGCCCTCAGCGCTCGCCCCCGGCCCCCGTCGCCCCCGGACCCCCCGAACCGGAGCCGCCCCCGGCCCGGCCCCGCTCCCTCGGCCCCGGGGGGGGCCCGGACCCGCCCCGGCCCCGCCGCCCCGGCCCGGCAGGATGATCAAGCTGTTCTCGCTGAAGCAGCAGAAGAAGGAGGAGGAATCGGCGGGCGGCACCAAGAGCTCCAGCAAAAAGGCCTCGGCCGCGCAGCTCCGCATCCAGAAAGGTCTGGGGGGAGGCGGCGGGCACGCACCGGGCCCAGCAGGGCCGCACTGGGCCCGGTAAAGGCCGCGACTGGGGCCAGTAAGGGCCTCGAACTGGGGCCAGTAATGGCCTCATACTGGGGCCGGTAAGGGCCTCATACTGGGGCCGGTAACGGCCAGAGATTGGGGCCAGGAAGGGCCTCATACTGAGCCAGTAACGGCCGCCAACTGGGCCCAGTAAGGGCCTTGAACTGGGGCCAGTAAGGGCCTCATACTGGGGCCAGTAATGGCCTCATACTGGGCCCAGTAAGGGCCTCAAACTGGGCCCAGTATGGGCCTCGAACTGGGGCCAGTAAGGGCTGCACACTGGGGCCAGCAGGCAGAAAGGTCTGGGGGGAGGCGGCGGGCACGCACCGGGCCCAGCAGGGCCGCACTGGGCCCGGTAAAGGCCGCGAACTGGGGCCAGTGAGGGTCTCAAACTGGGGCCAGCAGGGCTGCAAACTGGGGCCAGTGAGGGTCTCAAACTGGGGCCAGTGAGGGTCTCAAACTGGGGCCAGCAGGGCTGCAAACTGGGGCCAGTAAGGGTCCCAGACTGGGGCCAGTGAGGGTCTTGAACTGGGGCCAGTAAGGGCCTCGAACTGGGCCCAGTAAGGGCTGCACACTGGGCCCAGCAGGGCCCCGTAAGGGCCTTGAACTGGGGCCAGTAAGGGCCTCATACTGGGGCCAGTAATGGCCTCATACTGGGCCCAGTAAGGGCCTCAAACTGGGCCCAGTATGGGCCTCGAACTGGGGCCAGTAAGGGCTGCACACTGGGGCCAGCAGGGCCCCAGGCTGGGCCCAATAAGGGCCACAAACTGAGGCCGGTAAGGGTCCCAAACTGGGGCCAGGAAGGACCACAAACTGGGCCCAGTAAGGGCCTCAAACTAGGGCCAGTAACAGTCACAAACTGTTAAAAGCTGGGCCCAGTAAGGGCTGGAAACTGGGCCCAGTAACAGCTCCATGCTTGGCCCAGTAAGTGCCCCAAACTGGTCCCAGTAAGGGTCTCAAACTGGTCCCAGTAAGGGCTGCCAACTGGGGCCAGTGAGGGTCTCAAACTGGGGCCAGTGAGGGTCTCAAACTGGGGCCAGCAGGGCTGCAAACTGGGGCCAGTAAGGGTCCCAGACTGGGGCCAGTGAGGGTCTTGAACTGGGGCCAGTAAGGGCCTCGAACTGGGCCCAGTAAGGGCTGCACACTGGGCCCAGCAGGGCCCCGGGCTGGGCCCAATAAGGGCCACAAACTGAGGCCGGTAAGGGTCCCAAACTGGGGCCAGGAAGGACCACAAACTGGGCCCAGTAAGGGCCTCAAACTAGGGCCAGTAACAGTCACAAACTGTTAAAAGCTGGGCCCAGTAAGGGCTGGAAACTGGGCCCAGTAACAGCTCCATGCTTGGCCCAGTAAGTGCCCCAAACTGGTCCCAGTAAGGGTCTCAAACTGGGGACTGGCAGGGCCTCATACTGGTCCCAGTAAGGGTCCCAAACTGGTCCCAGTAAGGGCTGCAGGCTGGGCCCAGCAGGGCCGGCAGTTCCGGGTCGTTAACGGCCCTGGGGGGGCCGGTACCGGTTCCAGCAGCGCCGCACTGGGGCCGGTACTGGGACCAGTAAGGGGCCAGTACTGGGAGCAGCAAGGGGCACATACTGGGACCAGTAAGGGGCACGTGCTGGGACCAGTAAAGGCCCGGTACCCGTTCCTGCAGCACCGCACTGGGGGTGGTACTGGGACCAGTAAGGGGCCAGTACTGGGAGCAGTAAGGGGTACATACTGGGACCAGTAAGGGGCACGTACTGGGACCAGTAAGGGGCACATACTGGGACCAGTAAAGGCCCGGTACCCGTTCCTGCAGCACCGCACTGGGGCCGGTACTGGGACCAGTAAGGGGCCAGTACCGCTTCCAGCAGCGCTGCACTGAGGGCTGGTACTGGGACCAGTAAGGGGCACATACTGGGACCAGTAAGGGGCACATACTGGGAGCAGTAAGGGGTACATACTGGGACCAGTAAGAGGCACATACTGGGAGCAGTAAGGGGTACATACTGGGACCAGTAAGAGGCACATACTGGGAGCAGTAAGGGGTACATACTGGGACCAGTAAGGGGCACATACTGGGAGCAGTAAGGGGTACATACTGGGACCAGTAAGGGGCACATACTGGGAGCAGTAAGGGGTACATACTGGGACCAGTAAGAGGCACATACTGGGAGCAGTAAGGGGTACATACTGGGACCAGTAAGAGGCACATACTGGGAGCAGTAAGGGGTACATACTGGGACCAGTAAGGGGCACATACTGGGAGCAGTAAGGGGTACATACTGGGACCAGTAAGGGGCACATACTGGGAGCAGTAAGGGGTACATACTGGGACCAGTAAGAGGCACATACTGGGAGCAGTAAGGGGTACATACTGGGACCAGTAAGAGGCACATACTGGGAGCAGTAAGGGGTACATACTGGGACCAGTAAGGGGCACATACTGGGAGCAGTAAGGGGTACATACTGGGACCAGTAAGGGGCACATACTGGGAGCAGTAAGGGGTACATACTGGGACCAGTAAGAGGCACATACTGGGAGCAGTAAGGGGTACATACTGGGACCAGTAAGAGGCACATACTGGGAGCAGTAAGGGGTACATACTGGGACCAGTAAGGGGCACATACTGGGAGCAGTAAGGGGTACATACTGGGACCAGTAAGGGGCACATACTGGGAGCAGTAAGGGGTACATACTGGGACCAGTAAGAGGCACATACTGGGAGCAGTAAGGGGTACATACTGGGACCAGTAAGAGGCACATACTGGGAGCAGTAAGGGGTACATACTGGGACCAGTAAGGGGCACATACTGGGAGCAGTAAGGGGTACATACTGGGACCAGTAAGGGGCACATACTGGGAGCAGTAAGGGGTACATACTGGGACCAGTAAGGGGCACATACTGGGAGCAGTAAGGGGTACATACTGGGACCAGTAAGGGGCACATACTGGGAGCAGTAAGGGGCACATACTGGGACCAGTAAGGGGCACATACTGGGACCAGTAAAGGCCCGGTACCTGTTCCTGCAGCACCGCACTGGGGGTGGTACTGGGACCAGTAAGGGGCACATACTGGGACCAGTAAAGGCCCGGTACCCGTTCCTGCAGCACCGCACTGGGGCCGGTACTGGGACCAGTAAGGGGCCAGTACCGCTTCCAGCAGCGCTGCACTGAGGGCTGGTACTGGGACCAGTAAGGGGCACATACTGGGACCAGTAAGGGGCACATACTGGGACCAGTAGGGGGCACATACTGGTCCCGGTTAGGCTCCAGTGGGAGGCAGGTACTGGTTTCAGTAATGGTCAGATACTGGTCCCAGTAGGGGTCAAGGGCTGGTCCCACTTAGGCCGTGGTGAGGGGCAAGTACTGGTCCCAGTAAGGGTCAGATACTGGTCCCAGTAAGGATCACATACTGGTCCCAGTAAGGGTCACATACTGGTCCCAGTAAGGATCACATACTGGTTCCAGTAAGGATCACATACTGGTCCCAGTAAGGGTCACATACTGGTCCCAGTCAGACCTTGGGAAGGGACAGGTACTGGTCCCAGCACGGGGCACATACTGGTCCCAGTAGGGCTTCACTGGGGATCAGATACTGGTCCCAGTAAGGGGCAGGTACTGGTCCCAGTGGGGGGCACACACTGGTCCCAGTTAGGCCCCAGTGGGTCCCAGTAAGTGTCCCTGTCCCCTCCTGTCCTTGTCCCTGTCTCCTCCTGTCCTTGTCCCTGTCCCCTCCTGTCCCTGTCCCCTCCTCGCCTCTCTGTCCCCGTCCCCTCCTGTCCCTGTCCCCTCCTGTCCCCTCTGTCCCTGTCCCCTCCTGTCCTCCCGGTGACATTTCTCTGTCCCCAGGGTTTCTACAAGGGCGGCAAATTTGTCTTCAGCTTTAAGGTCAGTGCTGGGCCACCGACCCTTCCCTGTGGCCACCAACCCTTCCCTGTGGCCACCAACCCTTCTCTGTGGCCACCAACACCCCCCTTTGGCCACCAAACATCCCCTAGGGCTACCAACCCTTCCCTGTGGCCACCAAAACCCTGCTGTGGCTACCAAACATCTCCTGTGGCCACCAGCACCCTCCCTTGGCCACCAAACACCCCCTAGGGCCACCAAACCCCTGTTATGGCCCCCAACCCCCTTTGTGGCCACCAAACCCCTGCTGTGGCTACCAGTGGCCATGGGGATGGGGCGAGGCGACCGGTGGCCACCAAACCCTGACCGGTGGCCACCGAGCTGTGCCAGGGCTCCCGTGGGTCAGAGGTGGCCGCGGGGGCTGGTGGCCACCGGACACTGCCTGGTGGCCCCTGGGCCAGCTGAGGGCTGGGGGGGGTTGGTGGCCCCGGGGGGTGACTCGGTGGCCCCGGGGGTGACTCGGTGGCCCCCCAGGTGGGCCAGGGCTACCCCCACGACCCGCCGAAGGTGAAGTGCGAGACGATGGTGTACCACCCCAACATCGACCTGGAGGGCAACGTCTGCCTCAACATCCTCAGGTGGGCCACCAAACGCCCGGGGGGGCTGGTGACACCTGCTGGGGCCACCAAACACCTGGGGGGCTGGTGATACACCCGGGGGGCTGGTGACACACCTGGGGGGCTGGTGTCACACCCGGGGGGCTGGTGACACTCCTGGGGGGCTGGTGACACTCCTGGGGGGCTGGTGACACACCCGGGGGGCTGTGGCCACCTGCTGGTGGCCGTGGTGGCCCCGCTGACCATTGACCACCGGCTGTGGCCGCAGTGGCCGTGCTGACTGCTGGCCGTGGCTGTGCTGGCCATGGTGGCCACACTGACCGCTGACCACACCCACTGACCGCTGACCCCTGACTGCTGCCCACTGACCAACTGACCACTGACCCCTGCCCACTGACCGCTGACCACTGACTGCTGACCACTGACCAACTGACCACTGCCCACTGACCATACCAACTGACCACTGCCCACTGACCGCTGACCCATGACTGCTGACCACTGCCCACTGACTGCTGCCCACTGCCCACGGCCCACTGCCCACTGACCGCTGACCCCTGACTGCTGACCACTGCCCAACTGCCCACTGACCCCTGACCACTGACCGCTGACCCTGACTGCTGACCACTGACCATACCAACTGCCCACTGCCCACTCACCACTGACTGCTGCCCACTGACCCCTGACTGCTGCCCACTGACCACTGCCCACTGACTGCTGACCGCTGACCATATCAACTGCCCACTGACCACTGACTGCTGACCGCTGGCTGTGGCTGTGACCGCTGGCCATGGCTGTGGTGACCGTGGCCATGGCAGTGGCCGCAGTGGCCGCTGACCGCTGGCCGTGACCGCTGACCGCTGGCCGTGGCCGTGGCTGTGATGGCCACAGTGGCTGCAGTGACCGCTGGCCGTGGCCATGGCTGTGGCCATGGCTGTGGTGACCGTGGCCGTGGCAGTGGCCGCAGTGGCCGCAGTGGCCGCTGACCGCTGGCCGTGACCGCTGACCGCTGGCCGTGGCCGTGGCTGTGATGGCCACAGTGGCTGCAGTGACCGCTGGCCGTGGCCGTGGCTGTGGCCATGGCTGTGGTGACCGTGGCCGTGGCAGTGGCCGCAGTGGCCGCAGTGGCCGCTGACCGCTGGCCGTGGCCGGCTGTGCCCTAGGGAGGACTGGAAGCCGGTGCTGACCATCAACTCCATCATCTACGGCCTGCATGACACTCCTGGGGGGGCTGGTGACACACCCGGGGGGCTGGTGTCACACCCGGGGGGCTGGTGGTACACCCGGGGGGCTGGTGACACTCCTGGGGGGCTGGTGACACTCCTGGGGGGCTGGTGACACACCCGGGGGGCTGGTGACACTCCTGGGGGGCTGGTGACACACCCGGGGGGCTGGTGACACTCCTGGGGGGCTGGTGACACTCCTGGGGGGCTGGTGACACTCCTGGGGGGCTGGTGACACACCCGGGGGGCTGTGGCCACCTGCTGGTGGCCGTGGTGGCCCCGCTGACCATTGACCACCGGCTGTGGCCGCAGTGGCCGTGCTGACTGCTGGCCGTGGCTGTGCTGGCCGTGGCTGCCACACTGACCGCTGACCACACCCACTGACCGCTGACCCCTGACTGCTGCCCACTGACCAACTGACCACTGACCCCTGCCCACTGACCGCTGACCACTGACTGCTGACCACTGACCAACTGACCACTGCCCACTGACCATACCAACTGACCACTGCCCACTGACCGCTGACCCATGACTGCTGACCACTGCCCACTGACTGCTGCCCACTGCCCACGGCCCACTGCCCACTGACCGCTGACCCCTGACTGCTGACCACTGCCCAACTGCCCACTGACCCCTGACCACTGACCGCTGACCCTGACTGCTGACCACTGACCATACCAACTGCCCACTGCCCACTCACCACTGACTGCTGCCCACTGACCCCTGACTGCTGCCCACTGACCACTGCCCACTGACTGCTGACCGCTGACCATATCAACTGCCCACTGACCACTGACTGCTGACCGCTGGCTGTGGCTGTGACCGCTGGCCATGGCTGTGGTGACCGTGGCCATGGCAGTGGCCGCAGTGACTGCTGGCCATGGCCGTGACCGCTGACCGCTGGCCGTGGCCGTGGCTGTGATGGCCACAGTGGCTGCAGTGACCGCTGGCCGGGGGGGGGTTTGGGGTGTCTCCCCCATATTTTGGGCTCCCTCTGAGCTCAAGGTTTCCCCCAAAAGGAGCTGAACCCCAAACAAGGGTTTATGGGATTTGGGGGCTGTGAAGGGATTTTGGGGGATTTTAGTGGGATTTTAGGGAATTCTGGGTTTTGGGGGGGTTTTGGGTGTGTCCCCCCATATTTTGGGATCCCCCTGACCCCAAATATTGCCCCAGAGGATCCAAACCCCAAACAAGGGCTCGTGGGA